ATAGGCGACGGTTACCACTTTCCATCAGGTGGGCCGTGAGCTTGTTTGCCATTCTAAATTGTATAAAAAAAAAATTAAGCGAAACGCTGCTGCCCATCCCTCGATCGTTAAGCTCCCTTAATAGCTTCTGTGATCTGTGCATAGAATAAGCCACCCCTTCCTTATCTGTGGGTGTCGTTACGCCTCTTACGACACTCACGAGAAAGAAAGGGGTGGCCTATTCTATGTTGGAACCACACGGTGGTCTGTCCACATATTTAATATAATTTCGTAATATATGGAATTTTTATTTTATGCCACTTATTTCTAATGAAATAATCCATTTTTTTTACTATAACTAAAGAAATAAGCAACGTATAAAAATCAAAATCTGTTTCTTAAAAAAATTCTTCATCTTCTCTTATTAAACAAATGTTTTACAATGTAGTGTGCATATCGAAAACGTTTATGACACTAAGCCAGACTTACACATCGGAAAGTCGTATATTTTGGAGACGAATTAAAGGTTTAAGACAACTTTAATAACATAAAAGGACCGGTCACATCGCGGTGAGCCCCTATACCTCGATAGCTGTCATTGTGCCTCATTTAGAAAAAGAACTTAACTTTTTTTATAAATAAATATTATCAATTACAATGAAAACTAATAAATGTACAATTAGAAATTTTAAAATACATTACTTGGATATTGAAACAAAAAAATCATTGCTTATATACACAGGGTAAACTGTTTCGAATTGAACATTGTCTTAAAAGTATGCTAATTATTTCTAATTATTAAGAAAACTATTTACTTACCTGCACAATAAAATATCAAAAGTATGTTAATTAGATTTCTAAATTAAATAGCATACTTTTAAAACAATGTTCTAACAGTGAAACTATAAAATTAATTTTTATCTAAATAAAATAAATAATTAAAGTTCATGTTGTATATGTATGTATAAATGCTTTTCTTAATTTAATAGATATTTTATAATAATTTACTAAATACGATAGCAATATAATATGCTTAAGGTAAGTTTTATTAATTATTATACAATTTTATACATAATACAATACTCGGGTGATGTAAATCTAAACATCATAACATATGGCACGTAACCTACGTATAAGAATATTGTCGGCATTCTTTAATGGCCTTTATCTCTTTCTCTCTTAACCCTTTCGTGACCGACCATCTCTTTCTTTTTAATTTGGCTAAGAAACAGGCCATAAGTTGGAATGACATTTTCAACAATGCAGTCGAAATGTTTTCGTATGCTAATGATTTATGTGTAAAACCGTCAGTACGAAAGCTTTTCGGAGCTGTATTCGTTCTTATTTATACACGGCGACCCTTTGAAATATATACTCAAAGTTCAGCCGCTGGGAAAACAATGGAAACTTTAAATTAGGAGTAAGTATATAGATTAGCAAACATTGTTTTTTTTTAATGTATGATAAAGAAATTGTAACTCCGCCTACACTATCGATATACTCTAGCGGAACACCAGTTAGGGATGATAGGTAAGCAAGAAACAGCAGGTCAGTTAGACCATCGTAAATCATATGGAATTCAGCACGATGGTTTCCAGGGAGAACCACGTGGAAATCGATCTGACAGGGTCTATTTCTAATAATAGGTCTGGTGGTCTGCATTACTAACAACCCCCCAAGCAAACGTTATTTTGACTCTATCAAATCCATTTTTTAACATTTAAAAACTGCCCTATCTCAGACATTGGAACCGACAATACTTATTGAGAGGAAAGGGATTGTTAGTAATAATATCGAAGACCCATTTCTAGAAATATACTCTATCAGGTTGTACTCCACGACGTTCCTATGGAAACTATCGTAGTTAATTCATCACGATTGGCAAAAATGAACAGCTTCTATCCTGAGCTACCATAATATGGGTGCTCAGCCAAATTATACCAAAAGCACAAGTGGGTTTATCATTGTATTGTCCCCTTTCAGTACAAGCAAATGTACAATGTACCTACATCTACAAAATTTCATTATAATTGGTAGAGCAATTTCAAAGATTAGCATGAAGGAACATCATGATACGGGATTTTTATGTAGGTATCTATATATCTATTACTGAACCTTTTTAGGTGCATGCATAGTAATATATAAGCTACAGTGATCGTTTTTCATCAGACGGGCTATATACTTATTTGCTACCTTCATAGTATAAAAAAATAATAGTACTATCATCATCGTTCATTTCAGCTATTAATTGTCCAGTGCAGAACATAAGTTTTTCACATAAGGGGATCTTTGCCATTAGTTGCTACGTTTGGCACGTGGGTTAGCAACCGCAGTTAGACTTTTAGAGATGTTTTAAGAGTGACGCTGCTGCCAATCCCTCTACCTACCATTAAGTTCCCTTAGTCGCCTCTTACAACACTTACAGGAAAGGAAAGATTGACCCATTCTATGCCAGGATCACACAACCAAATCGTAATATACCGTATAGTAATATATAGTCTATTAATAAACCTACTCTGTAAAAGAATGTACTCGTATTTATCAAGCTTATAGTTTACGGTTCAATCTTTTTGTTTCCCCTTTACGGGTATTTGTTTTTGTTACACAATTCTAAACAAGAACCTGGCATGAACAGAAGTTACTTGTAACAGTTATTCTTGAGACCGTTTTGACTCAAAAAAAAGTATCTCTGGCCATAAAATTCGAATACAGAGAAGCGATAGTTTGAAAACAAAAGTTAGTCGATACTTTTATTGTAGGTCATAATTTCTTTAGAAAATATATAACGCAGACAAATGTAGAAAGACAAAACAGTCTTGAGAATATGCAACTGCTATTATGTCTATTTTTGTGTACTTAACACTTACTAATTGTAAACAGTTTATCTTGCGAAAACAATATTACATAAAATAAACAAGTATCTAAAGCTAATTAAAAAGGATTTCAAGTTATTACGTTTTTCTCTGTTTTGTTTTTAAACTACCAAATTCGATATACAAGTATCCTAAGATTATTTACTAAATTGCACTAGCCAAATAAAAAAATAGACTGTTTAAAAAAATCACTTCAAACAATGTTATATAATAAATACCCTACCCTACCTACCTACTTGTAAGATCCCATTAATTATAAATATTTGTGTTCACCTGAACACGGCTGAAAACCCAAAAATAAAAAAAGCAAATGACTTCTGTATAAAAGTAATCTGATGGATTTCCGATGAATATTAATCATGATTATTTATAAAAAAATATTACAAGACTTTAATGCAAAATACATGATAGAAGTTTTTACTTGCAGTAATTAATTATAGGTTGTAGGTAAATATAAAGAAATAAATAAAATTAAAATTTTATTAAACATAAAAATCAATGCTACACAAAGGTCTATAGACAATTAATTGTAGTATTGACAAATCATTATAAACAATCATTAGAGATATTATATTAAAATTAAGATCAAGATCATTTGAAGAGCGACTATAATATTACAATAGACGAGTCGTGACAAAAATTCTTTATTGAAACAAGAACAGATCACTTTCTATGTTACATCCTTGACCATTTTAAAATGTTTGCACTGCCTTTACAAGGATCTGTCATTAAAGAAAATGTACACATTTTTTTTCTTGTGTTCCTTTGCGTGAGGATGATATATTGTTATATTGGTAGCTGTAACAAACACTTTTAGCGTGTAATTTCTTCGTGCCTTTATAGTTTTATGGTCGTTTGAGACTTTAAAAATAAAAACGCACCTATTTAGACAAGTTTATTTTTATGTCATTTCAAAATAGTTTTCACTAATGCAATAGATCACTAATCGGCAATGAAAGTACGGAAAAGGTTGTTATGTTTATTATGCTTTAATTTATAAATTGAACTCCAACATATACATTATTAAATATTTCATTAGCTTTTACCTGCAAATTTGTAAGAAAATTAATTAAATAAACTACTTCTATATAGTGTATAAAGATAAAATATATACTATATCATATAAAATCAGATATTAGATATATATATATATATATATATATATATATATATATATATATATATATATATATATATATATATATATATATATATATATATATATATATATATATAATAGTCAATACAATAACAATAAATAGCTTTCCGTTGTAAATTCTATAAGTTTGAGGCTTAATTATTATATTAGCATGTGATCTGAAGCTGTTTCTCACATTTATCATAGTTAAGGTTCTGTAACCATTCCTTTATCCTTATCTCGGTCTTAGGAAAAGAGCATTTCTTGATATAATTTGCTTTAGCTATTCTATTGTAGACACTTATAATTATGTATGGGCTAATATGTTTAGCGAAAACCGTCTGAATTACTCTCAATTGTACCTGAAAGATTCGTTTCTTTAATAAATTTATATAATATCTGGACCTTAACACTGATCTATGGGTCAATAAGATTGTCTGTAACAAAACTAATTTACGGACGCTGAGAATTTTGCTTTCTCTATATAACTCAGTTGTAGGATATCTGTGTCTCTTTTTTAGCATTGTCTTCAGAACCGAGCGCTGGACTCTCTCGATCTAATATATATATATGAACGTCATAATACATTAGTGAAATGTTATCCAAACTGTATGCAGCCAATGATAGAGCTATTAGCGGCGCAAGAGTCTCGGCTAATAATATCTGACTCCTTCCTTAACCATCGATTCGAAGAAAAAGAAAAAAAAACTAGGCTTAATTAAACTAAAAACATAATACGAAATATTAAACTTACTGTTTTGAAGAAAACATCAGGTACCAATTCACGATAGCTATATTATATATGCACAAAACTTGGTACTTAGTCATAGTTAAATAACATTAAAAAATTATAAAACGTAATAAATAATACAGAAGTAGACTATATCTAATTCGCTACATGTCAGTAATAGTGTAGCTATATATAATAATGGAATTAAAAATAGATTATAAACCAATAAAATTAGTAAAGAATATTATGAACGGACAAATAACAACAACTGAAAACGTACCTTGAAAAGAGTATCCTGTGAAGTACGGTGTCATGTTTAATGTTGAAACCGCCATTGAAATTACAGTAACAACTGATTGTGAAAAACACGCAGCTCCAAACACCAAATTAGTCCATACACATACAGAGTTTATAGAGATCACTATTTCAGTCTTTCACTATCACAGGTCACACGCAGGCATAATTGCGTAAAATGAAACTGCGTGTGTCTAATCCGTGTTACTTTGAAGACAGCGCAGTGCCCACTGACGTGTGATGTAAAGATGTATTTCGACTCTCAAGTGTAATCTTTCACAATCAGCGGCCCAACAAAAAATGGTCAAACTGGCCGCCTCCGCAGCCTTCGAGACTTTACCACCTGATTATTTGTCTCCTTCACACACCCCACCGCTGACAGCATGTACTACATCGCCGGTAACAAAATATTCGGGTAAAATGTCAAAATTTTAGTAATATTAAACGAAATCTATATTTTTTTAAAGATATAATAAAATCGATATTATTTTTAATTTTACTGTATACTTTTGTGAATCATCTATAGTATTTTTCTGTACCAATAGAGGATCAACTTCGACCGGTGTGAAAAAGAGATAGCACGAAGGCTCGAATCCGGTATCTTCAAAGAGGAGAACGTTTGCATTAACAATGTGTGAGTCGCGCCTGAGTCGCCGTGCCGTGACGAAAAACATGAGGCGTGTTGCCACCACGATCTATGGAGCAACAGTCGGTGATTGGACAAATTTGTTTGGGGCGGAGTTTGTGAGCACACTAAGGGAAACGAACTGGTGTGCTTGTATGAGTTAATTGCAATGTCGCTCACCATTCGTGTACAATACAAATTTTATTTCCAATGTTGTATATTCTTCAGCATATTTTATTTTGCATATGACTAGTTATTGTGTAAATTACAAATATTTTGTTATATTATGTAATATGCTAGATTCCGTGCAATTGAGTAACAGATAGAACCACAAGTAATTAAACATGATTATTTTATTTTCATACCTAATTTAAAGACATTGTCATTATTTTGAACTACTTATACATTACTCTATTTTTTAATCAATTCTCACGTCTGTAACTACTGATGTTCCTAATATTAGATACCGGGGAAAAGGGATTATTAGTAATAATAGTTAGTATCTTATAAGGTTAGACCTTATCAGGTCGACCTCCACGCGGTTCCCCTTGGAAACTACAGTGGTTAATTTTTGAATTCGTAACGATGGGCTAACTGACCTGATTTCATCCTCACTTGTCATCTCTCACCGGTACCCTGCCAGCATATTACCGATAGCGCAGACAGGATTATCATTCCCTCATCACCCATTAAAAAAAATCTTAGATGTAAAAATATTTTTTTTTTTATAAATTTTATCTGTCTGTCTGTTTATTGCATCAAATTTAATGCAGTTTTCACAATTAATTTCTTGAAGGTCTAACTTAAAAACTGGTAGGTATATGTTTTAAAATGTTTTATCTTGATACGTCATTTAAAATTGACTCTTTCATTAGTTTTCCTATTTCTGAAATCCATGAATACAAAGAAGGGTTACTCCCTTAAAGCTAGTAGGAAGGTATAGGTATAAATAAAAACGTTCCTTTACATTCTGTACAAGTAGGTAGTTAAATAGATGTATATATATACATACATTCATTCGATTTGCTATAACAATCTAAATACATCTAATACGTATATATATATATATATATATATATATATATATATATATATATATATATATATATACCTACCTACTCTCATTTTATATCTACATATTTTTATGCAACTTAGAATGGCGAACAAGCTGACGGCTCACTTGATGGATGTGGTAACTATCGTCTATAAACATGGGCATAACAGAGTATACTGTTTCGCCCATAATATCCCCCATGCATTACCATTTCTGAGGACTCAGATGTCATTCCTCTGTACCCTGTAAATTCACTGCCATATCCCACCATATATACAAATAAGTAGAAAATGTGAAATGCCACGTACCTACACTGAATATATAAAAATTCAATTGTAAATCATAAGGGCGCCAATACAGAATTTGTCAATTGTTATTGTTTATCTATTCATTTGCCAGCGTTGTGCGAGTTTTTTGTACTGCTAAAAAGATAACAGAACCCATATACAGAATTATTCTTTTGTTCGGTTTTTTGCTGTACCTGCAGGTTTATATCTATATATTTACCAATAGCTAGCTGAGAAAAGTAGGTTATAAGCGAAACTTAAATTATACCTAATACTAAGTAATAGGTATACATACAAAATTACTAATTCTTGCAGAAATGTACCTAAATCACGAAAAAAATAATTATATATAGGTAGTTATTGTTTATTATCAGGATAATAACGTATGATACTGATTCACACGTAGAAAGCCGTAAAATTGGAGAGACAACTAGGAGTTTATAAAGGACTGTAAAGTATTATGAATATCACAGAATACATAGGTATATACCTATACCGCCGTCCCGGTATTGAATAGGCTACCCCTTCCTTTCCTGTGGGTGTTGTAAGAGGCGACTAAGGGAGGGCGAGGAATGGACAACAGCGTCCCTCCTAAAACATCTCCAAAGCCTCACTGCGGTTGCCAATCCGCCTGCCAAGTATATCAACTAGGTACTGGCAAAATCCCCCAAAAAGAAGGCTTATGTTCAGCAGTGGACAGCTAAAGGCTGATATGATGATAATGAAGACATCATATATCATCTGGGTAATATTGTCACCTCTGAGATTCGAGGGGTAAAAAATTTACTTGTATTATAAATTACGTGGGCTATTTTACCCTTCAAACTAAAACACAATACCAAATAGATTGCTGTAGGTACTTTACGGCGGAAGCCTCAGGTAAGGTTGTGAGATTTATTACTCAGGCCGTGAAGATAACATTACCATAAGAGATATCTCCTATACTAACTTTAATTAATTAGAAAAATCTTTTATTGTTACACAGCCATAGATTCATATTGACATAGATGAACTGAACGGAGTTAAATAGTACAAACTTGATTACGATAACACGATAGCTTTAATTTGTCTCATTGGACCTTAATCGATTATCTACGCTTATTTTATTTACACAGTTCCACTTTGGAAGCACATAAATTACAATATTTTTTTCTGCTTCTCACTAATGTTGCAATAATTCTAAATACTATTGTGCAACACTACCTTTTAAGTACAGTCGCAGCAAAAAGTAAGAGTGAGCAATTAAAAACGCTTGTTTTACCAAACTTTACTATTAATTAGTGAACGTGTCAATGGTAAGTATTTGGACGTTTGCCAAGGTCGTATTTCATAAGCCGCATTCAATAAAGCCACAAATTTTAACAGCTTTTTGGGGTTCCGCAGTATATTGCCTTAACTGATATTTTTATCGCCAGTTTCTTGGGAAACATACAGAGAGCAATAAACATAGAGCAATTATTTTTAAGATGACAATTATTTAGGTAATTATATTTGGACCGTTGCTTCGCCTTGACGTAGACTTGTAATGTATATTATTTCAAAATACTCGTAAGATTTTTTCTAATAAGACTTACATCTATATAAAATTTACACATGCTGGTGTCATGGAACATCGCAAAATTAAAAAACAATTTTGACTCGAAGAATCACAAATACAATTAGATATGTTGAAAAAATTGCTTCTAAATATAAAGACAGCAAATTAAAAATATAAAAACAAAGAACAGGAGAAGAGATAATGACATCTTAAATTATGTGTAGTACTTATATAAAAATAATAATAATAAATTAAAAGCAATCAAGAACATTTATCAAGACGTATTGATAAATATTTATATTATTAAGTATATTAAAATTAAATTGAATTTAAAATAAATCGCCATTGTCACATATAAAAACTTTAATTATTTTTAAAAATATTGAATATACTACTTAAAAAAAAATTGCACACATGAAAAATATTGTTATATTGAGTTTATTGTACTCATAATATTTAATAAATTTTACAAAAAAATATTTATTATATTGTGCCAAATAAAATAGCATATTGATGTTTTTTCCCAAATTCCAATTATAGAAATAAGAACTGCAATGAAATATGAATAATAATAATTTATTAATAGTTCGATGAACTATTAATTATACTAAAATAATTGTATGTTCTCTCTGAGCAAGCTATATGTATCTTATTCTTATAAAATTATTATCTATTTTTCATTATTTATTCAAAGCATAAAATTAATTCCTACTATTTGCTTTCACGCCTACTTTACCAATACTACATAATTCTTTTTATCACATTCAAATTAATCATGTTTAAACGCCTGAACGGATATGAATAAAATTTGGTACCCAAATACATTCTTATACTGACACAAAGGATGCTTTTTATACTAATCCATCCAGACAAAGTCACGATATACAGCCAGTTAATATTATTAATATAAGTCAGATTATGCTCAAAATTTGATGTAGGTACCAAAGCATAGTGGGCAAGCCTATATATTTGTATGTGTATCTGTTTCAATGGGTGGTGGTGGGATGGTGACCCCCTCTCGATATACGCTGGTAGGACACCAGTGAGCGATGATAGATGAAAAGGCAGGTCAGCTAGCTCATGGTGATAAATTCACTAAGAATTATGCATGATGATTTCCAGGGGGATCACGAGGAAGTCGACCTAACTGAGTATATTACTCGCAATAGGACTGCCATTCTGTATTACTAACAACCCCTTCCACCCCACGGTATATGTGTTAAATAGTTATACCTACTCCAACTATTAAAAAAATAAGACTTCGTACATCATTATTATTCTTAAAATGTTTAATGATCCAATTTAGCGTTACATTTATAAATATAAAATGTATTAAACGCTTTGACGTAATGTAAACATACCAAACAACATTTCTGAAAGTTCTTTAATGAAATTGTATGTACACAGCCCTTACAATTTGGGTACGATACAATGCTGTATCGAAACAAACAGAAATTGTCGATTCATTAACAATATAACCTTGAATTGAGTTTCAAACGTTTTAATTAAAAATCAACCAACGGCTCACTGGTCTTGTGGCTTACAAAACCCTTAATTTGTTGGCCCGTTTACACATAATCTTCGTTGGAGAGGAAACTTCGGTTAAGTCTGTAGTATTTAAATTAACAAAATCTTTTTAAGTCAATACTATTTAGTAAAATAACCATGCTCCCCAGCTCAATCGTTCAATTTACTTCTAATTAATAAATAAATTTTACAAAGTTATTAAAGAACATACATATTATATATGTGTGTAACATTCAGTAAATTATTATTTATAATTAATGCTATTTACTTTTTAAGCCGCTATTTAAAAAACAATCGTACAAGCTTTTGTAATATAGATAGGTATAAAATATTAAATATGTTACAAATATATACCCAAATATATAGACTACTAATAAAGTTAACAGAGCTCTGACAATAATAATAATAAATAATGATAAGTTTCTTATAGTGTTTTTCTCAAAACTAACAACGTCCTGAAACCAAGTAGAACCGTGATTTCCTATTTAATAAAGATTATTTTATTAACTGAATATTACAAATTCGAGAGCGACGTTGTCTATCTATATAACCCTGTTGACACTCGGTTTACTCTGTTAATCAA